AAAGTAAATGTACCACACCAATTAGACAGACTGAGACTTGTGAATGCGACAATCACAGGCGCTGTGCCGTCTAGCTCAATGAGTTCAGGGAGGTTCAGCCTCTCGGCAAAGGCTTGTCACAACGTGATTGATAGGGAGGCTTTCCTGGAAGCAAAAGAGGCACGCTTAGCAGACCGAAATAGGAATGAGGTTGTACAAAGAACGGGAGGATAACCCAAAGGGAAGTGAGAAACACCTTTCATTTTCAATGACCACAACTTGCCGTTTGATAGTACGTTCCTGCTTTTGGTAGTAGGTAACAGGCGTTGCAGACACCAACCGGCCTACATGCATCTGCGGAAAGGATAATTTCTTCAGTAGGTATAGTGGGAATGATGGGTATAGTGGCACCCTACCAACTCATCCGTCCACAGCGTGGCGTATTCGGAGAATCCATCGGGCCTCGCCGGGTTCCCTGCCGTCCATGTACGGAGTAGCCGTAATTTGAGCAGGGGATCTTTGTTCGTCCATAAGAGCCTGGAAAGGACTGTGTGTTTCATTGAAGCGAAATAGGGAGAAGAGGGTATGCAAGAACAGAGGAAACCAGGAACAAAGCTAGGGGAAAGAGAACCCGTAGATAAAAGGGCTGGCAGTTTTTTACTCGAGAGGAAAAAGGGTAGAAGGTAGAGCAAAGACAACGATTTTGCCACTGCCGTGTTGAGCCGAGGCGCAGCTGGTTATGCGTGATAGATCGGCAATTCCGGGGAAGCAGTATGGCGAAGCGACGCGAAGCGAAGACCAAAGAAACACGTTTCAGGGCAAGGGTTGCACAGAGGACACATACTTGTGTACGGCGATATTGGGCCAGAAGAGTGCTGACGGCCCGTCTGGATGTGCGGCCTTTCAGCCCGCGTCCACGTCTATTCCGCTGCGTGTTGCTCATTCACGTTGTAACTTGGGATATATAAATCCCCCTGCTGTAAGGCCTATGGCCATAACGTAATAAGAAAAACCCTAGTTCTGTGGATGTAGGTCTCACACACTGTGAGGCTGAACCACGTTAAAATCTCGTGTCTATTTCTTTGCGTTACAGTTCGATATTTATCATGGTATCAGAGCTGATCGATTCAGCACTTTGAAAGTTTTCGTCTGTTAACATCTAGTCATGGGTGACGAGAAGGACAAGGGCGAGAGGTCTATTGTTGGTGGCGCTAGTCAAGTCGGCGGCGACAGAGATCAAGACCCGCTGTCTCCGTTTTATCTTCACCCGTCGGAAACGGCCGGTCAGCTGCAGGTTGCAGAGGTTTTAACTTCTTCTAATTATGGGGAATGGATCGTAGAGATGACTGATGCTCTTATCATCAAAAATAAGTACGGTTTCGTCGACGGCACTGTTGTCAAGCCTGACGACGAGATTGGAACGCGAGCTTGGACGAGATGTGATGCCATGGTTCGGGGCTGGTTGCGTACAGCCATGGACAAAGAAGTTCGAGCTAGCGTGCGGTACGCTAGAACTTCCCGAGAGATCTGGCTTGATCTCAAGGACCGTTTTGGACAGGGTACCTGCCATGTTGGAAGCTGGCGACTCGGCTGCCATTCCCTGAGAAAAGAATACCTTCAGCTGGTCCAGCTGCTGCATAGTAAAGCCAACGACAGGGCTGTCCGACTCCACTTGAGATGCTCTCGGCTGCTGATCATCACCCAGCATCCCGACGTCGACGCCCCGCGTTACTTCCATTTTGTGAATTTTTATCTCTGCTTGGCCATCCAATTATGTCAAAACAGGTTTCTTTCAAGTGCCCACTTTTACCACAATGGGTACACTTGACGCGAGGCCTGTCCCGGCCGTCTGATCGCGCGTCCGAGCGTCCGTCCAAGCACCCTTCAGCTGCCCGCAGAGCACTGGGGCGATCAGCACCGCCACGATCGGTCCCGCCACGCGCGTTGAAGGCAGCTGCCTCCGCCTGCGGACGTCGCTTCTGGGCAATGAGCCTTTGCTGCTCATCTCCAGATACGAGGTTGAATGCTTCGGTCAAGGTGGGAGTGGGCTTGGTGGCCAGAATTTGAGTTCTGATGGTGGTGAAGCTGTCATCCAACCCCATTAGGAAGTCAAATAATCGCGCCCCTTCATCCCGTTCCTTTGTTCGGCGTTCCAACCCACAAGTGCACAAACCACACGTACATTTCGGCGAGGGCGAAATAGACTGTGACTCCTCCCAAAATGTACGAAGCCGAGTATAGAATGCTGAGACACTCAGCTTTTCCTGCTGCAACGAGCTAACCATGCGTCGGATCTCGTAAGCACGCCCAGCTCATCCACGCCCGCGCCCTCACCTGGAACTTCTCCATCAGCGGCCGTCCCTTCCCAGCAGCCAGCTGATCACGTTCCCTTGCGGCGCGGTGATAGGGTAAGAGTGAGGCCTAAGTACTTGGATAATTACCTCACTGATGAGCAGCTGGCTCATTCGGTCACTAATCCTCTGTCCGCACATGTCTCGTATGGCCGTGTTAGCCCCGAGTACCGTGCTTTTCTAACTGAAGTTATTCGTCATGAAGAACCTCGTAGTTTCAACGAGGCCGTCAAGCATGCTGTTTGGCGCGAAGCCATGGAGAGAGAGATTGCAGCTCTCATTCAAAACGGTACTTGGAGCTTAGTTGATCTTCCTTTGGGTAAGCGTATTGTGGATTGTAAATGGGTTTTCAAAATAAAATATCGTCCTGATGGGAGCATTGAGCGCTATAAAGCGCGTCTAGTTGCAAAGGGCTTCACTCAGGTTGAAGGAGTGGACTATCATGACACGTTCGCCCCTGTCGCAAAGTTGGTCACTGTTCGTTGTCTTCTAGCTGTGGCGGCCACGCGTGGCTGGTTTGTTCACCAGCTCGACGTGAACAACGCTTTCCTGCATGGGGATCTCACCGAGGAGGTTTATATGAGGATTCCTCCTGGGTTTGCTGCTCGTGGGGAAATGCGTGTTTGTCGGCTCCACAAATCTTTGTATGGGCTACGGCAGGCGTCGAGCATGTGGTATCAAAAATTTACTGCAGCTTTGTGCGAGCTTGGTTTCCGTGCCTCCCCAGCTGACCACTCTCTGTTCGTGTATAAGCGAAGTACCACTTTTGTCACTGCTCTCATATATGTTGATGACGTTCTCCTCGCAGGTAACGACTTGGATTTCATCAACACAGTTAAGTCTTTTCTTGATCAGCGGTTCAGTATTAAAGATTTGGGCTCACTTCGGTATTTCCTTGGGATTGAGGTGGCTCGTTCCCCGCGTGGCATTGTTCTTAGCCAGCGGAAGTATACTTTGGACATCCTGGAAGAGTCTGGTATTCAGGGTGCTCGTCCTAGTCTCTTTCCGGTTGAGCAGAACCATCACCTTACTAGCTCTTCTGGAGCTATTCTTTCTGATGGATCTGCCTATCGGTGTTTGGTAGGCTGGTTGCTATACTTGACCGTCACACGGCCTGATATTACTTATGGAGTAAACATTCTTAGTCAGTTCGTCCATGCTCCCACTCAGGCTCACATGGACGCTGCCATTCGGATTCTGCGCTATCTCAAACAGTCTCCTGGGCAGGGCTTGTACTTCCCAGCCACTGGTTCCCTCGATCTGGTTGCTTACTGTGATGCTGATTGGGGTGGTTGTGAAAGCACCCATCGTTCTACTAGTGGTTTCTTTATCAGTCTTGGCGGTGCTCCAATATCCTGGCGCACTAAGAAACAGAAGGTGGTTGCTCGGTCATCTGCCGAAGCTGAATACCGTGCCATGGCTAGCACGGTGAGTGAGATTATATGGCTCCGTTGGTTACTTACAGAGCTCGGCGTTCCCAGACTTCACCCACGCCACTCTATTGCGATAATCAGGCTGCACTTAATATTGCTGCCAATCCTGTTTTCCACGAGCGTACTAAACACGTGGAAATGGATTGTTACTTTGTCCGTGAGAGAGTGGTGTCTCGTGATGTTGCGCCCTGCAAGGTCAGCTCGCAGTTTCAGCTTGCTGATATCTTCACCAAAGGGCTTGGTTCCGAGCGTTTTCAGTTCCTCTTGTCCAAGCTGAATGTTCGTGACCTCCACAGTTCAGCTTGCGGGGGCGTATTGGGCCAGAAGAGTGCTGACGGCCCGTCTGGATGTGCGGCCTTTCAGCCCGCGTCTACGTCTATTCCGCTGTGTGTTGCTCATTCACGTTGTAACTTGGGATATATAAATCCCCCTGCTGTAAGGCCTATGGCCATAACGTAATAAGAAAAACCCTAGTTCTGTGGATGTAGGTCTCACACACTGTGAGGCTGAACCACGTTAAAATCTCGTGTCTATTTCTTTGCGTTACAGTTCGATATTTATCAGGCGAACACTGTAGAGTAAGGGTAGGGATTGTGGAATTCGTTTCCGATCCGGCCGATTCGTCGGGTCTCGACTAACCGCTTGCAACCACCCTACGGAGTACACAAACTCACCCACCTTTAGCAAGGCGACAAATAGTTAAACAATAATAAAATTTTGCGAGTGGTAAAGCGTACCTACCTTTTATATTTTAAAGAAAGAGAAGTAACCGGAAAAAAAATCTTATCGGACTTGCTCTTTTATTATGTTTTGTGTCAAACAGACTTTCTATAATTACAATGTTCTCAGATTTATCACTACGGATTGGGAATTACCAATTTTGTTCTTCCTTTTAATTTGTTTCCTTTCATTTCTCCGTGGCGAATATGGATTGAGATCATCAAGAAGATCTCTTTGACTCTGGATGCACGCAGTGGGTGGGAGGCCCTAGATATTGAACGTTGCAGAGAGGGACTCGAAGCCTCGTCTCCTTCCAAGTTCCAACACAATGTCATTATGATATCGACGACCCTTTTTCCCCAATACAAATGCCAATTAATTAATACACAAACGGATTAATTAAATCAACGCATGCGACGATTTGAATGGTAATCCAACCAAAGCGTCAGTATACCACTATAAATCACACCCTAAACCATGATATAGTAACATCGGAAAGCAGAAAATTAAAGCAGCTATGCATTCCTCCGACGACGGCGAGGTAAGGAAAGGAGAGAAGGAAGCTGTACTTCACGACGACGGCGAGGAGGGCGCCTCATTGCTGAGAAGGTTGAGCATAGGCCCTCGCCCGTCGACCCGTGACCGGCAACTTGTGATTCTGGCCCTCGGCGGCTTGCTCTGCGAACGTGTCCTCATACGTGAAAATCCCTCCAGAGTCTTCAATGCTCGCCGGCCTTACGATGCCGCGTACGGGAGCTTTGTAGGTTCGTACGTATAACCAAGACATAATTAAGAAAACAGGAAATTTCATTAATCATTACTGTAAATCGGCGTTTCTGATAACTCGTATACTGGATTAAATATTCCATCTCTCCCCGTTCTTTAGTTTACAAGAGGCCTCACTGCGAAACGTTTCTGAAATTCTGCTTCGAAAAGTTCGACGTGGCGATCTGGTCAACGGCAAATAGGTCAGTAAGCTTCGTTTTAAAAAGAGTGTTTTTACTCTAATTTGATTCCAGTAAGTCATGTGTTGGTATTGACTAATGAGAGATGATTGAACAGTTGGTACACAGAGAATGCTTTGGACTGTGTAATGACCGGGCTGAAGAAGAGCGGTCTTGTGTTTGTTTGGGTAAACATTATATTCTTGATTAATATCTAACTTTACTAGGGTCTCTTCAGAAGCTTTATTATATAAAAAAATTGGGGTAAATTGCAAGGTTAGTCACTGAAATTATCAAAAAAGTTTATGTTTGGTCACTAAAAATATTTAATTCTATTAGTGGTCATTAGCTTCAGTAAAACATTTCATATTTGGTCACTCTCCGTTACCTTCCGTCAGTCTCCATTAACACCGTCAATTATTTGCTGATGTGGCTAACAGACTCGCCTAGTCGCATATTTTTAACCTGAAAAGCATAAAAACTACCCCTGCCACATCATTAAAACTTAACCATCTAATCCCGATAAAAAAACCATCTACCCAGTAACCCAATGATCACGACCCAACCCAAATTAAAACACATGTTTCTCTTTTCCGTTACCCAACCCAAGCACCGATTTCCCCAAAAAAAATCCCCTTTTCTTCCCCGAAATCACTGGTATATGTTCTTGCTTAGATTGCACACATGCCGGAGAAATTAGGGTGAAACCATGTAGATCCTCCTCCAAGGCCTTCACATGGATTTTCCGGCCATTTTCTCCTCCTCACCTGCAGCTGCAGCTGATGCTCCCGCGAGTCCGATTCTTCCTCTGTGTCGGGATACGCTCAGCGGCAGCCGGAATGGCTCCGCCGGGAGCTTGCCTGAAGATGGGTTGTTGCAGATGCCGGCGCGAGGGAAAGAAGAGTCGAGTGGCGCTGCGGAGTGAGTGTAAGCGGAGCTCGAGGCTAATTTTCCTTCCTTCTTCACAAACCCAACCATGCTTCAACATCCCAGATCTATTATGTTTGGCTCCACCGACGTAATCGACAAACCCCTATATTATCTTCAACCCTAGAAGTACGATATTCCTTTACCGTTGCCAACACCGCGAAGAGAGCAACTGGAGCTCGATGAGTTCACCGCGGAGGGAGGTGAGAGGCGGCATCTGGAGAGGGAGAACGAGAGAGCATCGCTGTGTTTTGTATTTAGGGTTTTGGATTTTGTACGATTCAATTTCATGTACTGATTTAGTGATGAATTGATTAGGAAGGCAGGAAGTTTAGTTTGGATATGGAGGAGTGGTTGGGTTGGGTTGGGTCGGGTTTGGTTTGGGTAGAGGTTTGGTTAGATTTAGCTGACATGGCGGGTTTAAATGATGTGGTGGATCGGGTCAGTCAATTTTGGGGTTAAAAATTGCTGATTAGGCGAATCCGTCAGCCACGTCATCACTTAACGGACGCCGTTAACGGCGTTGGACGGCAACTAACGGAGAGTGACCATAAATGAACGGTTTTTGTAAAATTAGTGACCACAAATGGATTTAAATATTTATAGTGACCAAACATGAACGCTTTTGTAATCCCAGTGACCAACCATGCAATTAACCCAAAAAAAATTGTATTATGGTTTGTCAGAATCAACATGCTATTGACTCAGGATTCAAATCACTGCAAAAGAAAGATAGGCCCATCTTCTTGAAGAAGTTGAGTAATGTTTGGGATCGGCGTTGGAGAACTACTTTTGGTAGCAGTAGTCGTCGATATTCAGCTTCCAATACGTTAATGATCGAACTCGATGATGTACCCGAGAAGACACTCTTGAATCCTGTAATTTCATAAAACCTCTTTTTTTTTTTTTTTTTTTACTACAGTTTCAGTAACTCTGTTGTAAATATCTTGGGTGCTAATGATCCATTTCATTGTTATGCATGCAGCCAAACACAGCTGTGTTTGCTCCTGAGTACAAGTTTGAGGATGACGATGATAATGTACTAGGTAATTAATACCAACACATTACTACATTAGATGTTGAAAAATTGCGTTCTCTGTTTTGTTCACTTGATCTTTTAATTTTATTCCCCTTATTTCGATTGGGTGCTTGTTTCTTTGCAGCTCAAGAAGGGGAACTGTGGAAGTTCTTGGATGGGCTATCTAGGGCTGAAGATGTGGGCTCCTATGTGACGGCCAATCCATACGGGCCTCCTGCCATAACAGCAGCCCATCCCGACTGGGCTTATTACCAAGAGATCATACATGCTCATGGCGGAAGCAGCTGATGATGATATCATATTTTCTTCTTATTGTTTAAGCTTATGATATTTCGTTTATGCCAATGCCTGGGACAAACTGAATATTATTTATTATGCTTTTCATCTTTCGCCATTTCCATTAATAATCTTTCACCCAAAGGGCCAAAACAAAATTCCATTGATAAGCACAAAGGTCATTGGACATTGGCTATAGGAATAGGAGAATTTGAAAAGTCTCATAGCATATGATCAAGTACGACCTTTAAACACTTGGACCAGAAACACGTTGCTACTTCAGAAGATTTGACAAAAGAATTGTCCATAAATTCTCGGTAGAAGTTTCATATAGATAAAAAAGTAATATTGGTGATTAGGGACACCATTAAAATTTGAAAAAAATATTACTTTATATTTTATAGCAGTTTGAGTATGATTAAAAGATATTATCGGATGTTTGTGTTATTCAAACCCAGAACAATATTATTATTAAACATATCCTTCATTAGGTTGCAATTGATTTGTTGTTCTATTTTAACCCTATGTAATAGTAAAAACCCTATCCTTATCTCAATTATTTTCAACACCTAACAATCAAACTAACTAGAGGGTACTCTTAATTTGAACTGATTTTATGGTTACATGGCAAGTGTTGAAAGAGTCTTTTCAACTTTGAGTTACATGAAGAACAAACTTAGAAATCGAATATGCGATCAGTTCGTGAATTATTGCCTAGTAGTATATACAGATTTGATGAGCAGTGTAGACACCGAGTCCATTGTAATTTTTTTTTCAAAACATGAAAAGACGTCGTGGCCTTTTGTTTCAATTTATATTAGTCGGATATTTTCTAATTTATGAATTATTTAATTTAATTTATGAATTTAATTTTTGAAAGAGGATACGCCTATAAAAAATTCATGAATTCGCTGACACTGCTCACACTGAACTTATGATTTGGACAATACCAAAGTATTGGGTCTTTTTTGCTACTCCCTTACATTTAAAATCCGCTTCTAGAACCATGAACCAGCAACTTGCTCAAACGGGATGGGATTAGGTGCTAACCCTTATAGGGGTTAGCACCGTGATAACTAGGAAAAATCACTACGGATTATTATAAAATCAATACAACATCTAAGCTAAATCACTACTAATTCAAACTAGTAGTAGTTTTTTCCTTGATTAGGACGGTGCTAACTATTGTACAATTAGCACCGTAGCCGTTCCCTGCTCAAACAGATCTCACACTGATTTCGGTTTAACTCTAATTATACATAAAACATTTATTAATTTCAATCACAGCAAGACGATTCAAACTTTGGGATAAGTACATACACACACCGTAGTACCACTTCAAAGCAAAACCTTCATTAATAATTAAACAACCAAATTCAGCTTAGAGTATTATGCCGAAGGTTGACGAAGAACCTATAACTCGAGCATCAATCTGTAGCATCCAGAACTCGAGTTTAAGATGCAACAGACATCATACACGAAGAGTAACCATTCCATACACACATAATGAGTTTGAACCTTGGGCTCGAAGCGCACGCTGTGGGCCGGCCCATATATACAAGAAAGATGGGCTCGAAATTCAGAAATTGACGATTCGGACACCGAGATGCTTCTGGGCGAAATCGACAAGGTTGTTAATCTCGTTTGCGTCTATGTAACCGTTGCCGTCGGAGTCGGCTGACCGGAGACCCTGCCGGCACTTCCACCAGGCGAACCTCCCTCCGGCGCCGCGAACGGCGTCCGACAGCTCTTGTCTGCTGATCTTGCCATCTTTGTCGGTGTCGAACCTTCCCAGCCACGTTCTGAACTCTTGCATCGTCATCTCCCGCTTCCCGTCCGTAGTGATGCTCTTGGGCTTGATCGCCATGTGATTCCTTTTTATATATATTATTATTGGGGTTTCTTTCTGAGGGGTCGGAAAAGTTAGTGGGTCGATGTTAGAGATTTTGGAGATAGAAGGGAGTGAATATTACGCTATATAGGGGGAGTCTGAAATTTATAGTCCAAAACCCTTGGCCTTCTTATGCATGTTGCTTCACTAATTAAAAAAGAATATATTTAACTTTTGGTTTGTAAATGCAAAGTGATAGAGGGTTGAACTCGTTTTATTTATTTATTTATTATTAGGGTGAGTATTCGGTGGTTGTGTCAAGAATTTGTTGATTTTGGATAAATGGTATTTTGATTGTTTGATCTCTAAGTTTACCAAAATTCACCCATTTCTATTCATCTACTATGTTGTGGGTTCTAAAAGAAGTTACCACCAAGTAACCGATGGATGCAAGTGAATTGTGGTTGGTCATCGATTAATTGAACATTTGATTTCGAATATGTAGATCTTAAGTTCTCTTGTCTATTGTCTACTATCAAAATAAAAATTCTTAAAATCATGACAAACTTGCACTAATTTTAACAAAAAATCAGCCCAATATCTTTCCTATTATCTTTCTAACTTGATTTCGAATCAATATTTTCTCAAAGTTGCGTTACTCATGATAATTTCAAAATTCGTTTTGTTTCTAAAGATGGAACCTATACCTTGACAACTCCTCCAAATTAATGTCTCTGCCCCCGCGCGTAGAGGATATTATTTTTGGATTAAACCCTGTTTGAAACTCTGGGTACTAGGCCATGCATCCTAGGAATACATGTACCTTACTAATTAGTATATTGTTTTTTGACAACATTTTGGAGCCAAATGCATGTGTGGAATAACATCTCGGCTATGTTATTCATAAATAACGTTTCTGTAAAGTTGGAATAAGAGCACCCATACCAGATAATTAAGGTGTTAAATTCATTAAAATAGATGTGTTAGGCTTCAAGCCACTGAATTTCTTTTTTCTTGAGAATCACCATATGATCACTAGAGAAAAACGAAAAACAAACTGTCCTCTTTAAACTAATTAAGAGGGAACAAGTAGAGGAACATCAACTTTTGGGATAACGCATGCCTGGCAATAATTGAACTGTGCCATTCCAAAAGAAATGGCTCGGACGAAAAGAGAAATGTCGTCTGTGATTCGAAATTGTGATTCAGACTCGCATACGTTACCTTGATGACTCACTCATGTATGTTGGCCATGGATGGCGAACAATCTATCACTTGGAACACATGAGAGTTGAAGTGAAAGAAATCTAATGCTGTTTTATCCATATACATATATTCTCATGCTTTTATCAAAAGGAGAAGTTGGGAATGAATGATGCGGATGTATACTTTTCAAACCGGTTAATGGAACTTGATAAAAATAAATAAATAATGGAACACAGGTTATATTATATAAAGTTAAATCTGGTTTACTGTTGCCTAAAAGAGTGTTTATGGTGGGGTCAGTTTTAGTTGAATATGTTCGGTTGGACTTCAGCCTGCGGGCTTAGGGTTTGGGCTTTGGTTGGGTTCAACTCGTGGTCATTCTTTAGCTGAATATGTAATCCCATTCTCTACAAAATCAGTAAATCACTCCTGAAATGGCCACCAAATTGAAGAGTGGGAAAGGGGGAAAAGGTGAGAGGAAAAGGGCCGAATGTCTTTGGAAAAGATTCATAATTAAGATTGTCAAACAGTGTCGGTGTCGGTTTAGCAAGTGAAATGATTTGATTGATGGAGAACTGATTTGTGTCATCAGTTCATGTTGATTTAGTAAAATATATAGAAATTATCAAATCAATTTAATCATATATAAAACAATTTACTTATAATTTATATTCATATTAAAATAAAATGAAATACAATATGGCATTACAAATAAAATAATAAATACTCATATTTAAATAGAATATTTAAAGACAATATCTAAACTTTTATACTTGAAAGAAACAAATAATATTAACATTTAAATTCATAAAATAAATAATAAATTATTTTTTATTAATTGAATTCATTACAACAACATCATTTTTTTAGAATTCGTAAATTGATCATACCAGTCATACCAATGATGTTCACACTCATTTCATTACCTGTAGCGAATGAGCCAGATTCAACCGGCCGGCATTCCACTAGCGTGACAACCATTTTCAAAGAGAATCGGGCCTTTCTATAAATAAATGCATGGTTGATGAGGTTTTTAAATGTGTTTAGTACATGGGCCGCAACATGGTGCGAGTCTTTTCCATCTAGTATAATATATATATCTTAGTGTTTTGAACCATTGATAAAAATCTTAGTGTTAGCACACCATACTAACATAAATGATTAAAGTATTACAGAAACTACGCAATCATAGCAGTCATTCTCTTCTCCCATCCATATCATGTATATGGGTTTTATAGTTGGTACCTAAATTTAATAGATTTTAAAATTTAATACTTAAAATTAATTTTGTTTGCATATAAGTCTTAATAAATGATGATGGAATATCACAATTTAGTATCTAAATTTTTTATGTCTTACATTTTGATATCTAAATTTTTTAAAATATGAGAAAGGTCCAAGTTTATGAGGTTTATGGCCTGCTTTGAGAAACTTATGATGTGCTTTATGAGGTTTTTGGTATGTTTAAGAAATTTATGGTATGCTTTAATAAAATTGTGGTATACTTGATGAGGTTTTTGGTGTGCTTTAGGGAACTTGTCGTATACTTTATGAGGTTTATGATCTGGTTCAAGGAACTTCTGGTATGCTTTAATAAACTTGTTCGTGAATGATATCATTGGTTGACATAATATCCTCACCAATTTGAATGGTCACCTATAACACTTAAATGAACTCTCTTTGCATCCAAAATAATATGTTACTAATAGTGACATAAATTGGTTGTCCTTCATATTTGTGATGATTAATCACCTACCTTCTTCAACTAATACTATGACAACCAAATTAAAATGGTCACGAAAGATCCAGATTTTTTACTAATGACAAAATTGGTTGCGATAGTTTGAGAAAACTGTTACTGTACCAATCAAGCTACGTACGTACTTAGTTATGTATGAATTGGCTATTAAAATGTTTAAACTAGATTTTCATGTAAAATAGTATCGTATTGGCGGTGAAGTTTGAGAAACTGTTACTGGGATCTAAATCAATAGACCGTCTTAGTAGTAATGTGAAACAGTTGAATGACGATTAAAAATCTACAATTTCAACACAAATTGTTAACCTTTCTAGTACAACCTTCTATACAATTTTAAATTGCTTTGGTCAAAGTTTAGGGACAAACGGGTCAATAAATCCATGCATCCATTGTCACCACAAAAACTCTAACCTCATCTTAAGTTAACGAACTTGGCTAGCTAGTTAGCTAAGATCGAACGGGGACTATAATTAAATTAAATTAAATTCTGGACCCTTATTGCGACAAAAATACACGAGAAATAATTGTAATTAACCAGAAATTTAAAGTGGTTGTAATTCGAGGTGACTATACGGTCCGGTCCGGTTAAATTGGTCCAAATTGATCCGGTCCAGTCTGATCTTTTTGAAAATATAAGTATCAAAGATTGGATTGGATACAGTCCGGTCTTGACCTTGTCCGGTCCCAATTCGGTCTTGATTTTATATTAAACTTGTGGGGATTTGAGTGGCCTAAGGCCTGAGAGGGTGAGGAGTTGGTTAAGTTTTGTACTAAGTGCAAAGGTTTGTGACCGTTTATACAAATTACCCATAAGTTTGGGTGTTTAGCTCTCTTATCCGGTCTTTATCCAGTTTTCGATCCGATCCCGAACGGTATTTAGCTTGATTGGGTTTCATACGATACCAAATTAAAATGGTCACGAAAGATCCAGATTTTTTACATGAAAATCTGGCATTTGGCAGTGGTATCAATCAAGCTACGTACGTACTTAGTTATTTGTGACGGATGGAGGAGCTTTAGTTTCAAAACGGAAATGGGTTGGCATATGGATTCTTCTCTAATTAGGAATAATCAATTAAGTTTCTGATCCTATTCTTTATGTTTCGTTTGGTCCAGTCCTTCTTCACCTGGTATAAAGCAGAAACTAGCTATAGTTAGTTACAGTACCATATTAGAAGGAATAATATTCTCCTTTTTTTTTTGGTGGGAGGAATAATACTCTTTTGGAAAAGAGAGAGAATCGTGCTCATGCATTACTGCCACTCGAAATAAATCAAAGATGCACCATGTTTGGTCTCTATCTACAATATTTTTTAGGTTAAATACACTTGTATATCTAAAACTTTTACGGTTGTGCCAATAATATCCAAATTTCCCGAAATATCACTTATATCCAATTCCTTCACATTCTTTAACGGTGTTTTTGGATATACAAGTGTATTTAACCAAAAATATATTGGGAAATGAATAGATTTGGCAAAGAACAACTTTAAAACATGGATATAAGTGGTATTTCGAGAAATTTGGATATTATTGACACAACCGTGAAAGTTTTGAATATACAAATGTATTAAACATAGTTAGCTAGTGCAATAAAAAAAAAAAAGCAAAAAAACCAGGTTGATATTAAGGAAATGAATCTCAAGACGAAGAACTGGAAACCATTGCTTTTCCGAAAGTGATTCCCGTCAACTCAAGAATTATAGTTATAGGTCCGCCACATTTATTTGCATCAACATCGGACTTGTAACCATGCATGTTTATCTGTTATATTATCGGATAAATCGAGAAACGTTAGTTATGTCCTACATTAATTAGATCAATGTATGCTACAAAGAGTCCATGAATAGAGAAAAAAATTCATAATAATGTTAAACATAATACAAATGACAAACCACTTTAGCATTAGGAAGTAGGAACCGTTTGCTTGGTGATTTTGGTGATGGATTAGAGTCTCAAATCCAATCCATTATAAACTTGTCCTAGAGTTCATCATACGATAACCTATTTTAGGAGAGTATATAATATGCGAGATTCATGAATTTTAAAAGTCTCAATTTTTGGATTTCATGGACTTGTAAATTTCATAGTTATAGGTGAGATTTGGGTAAAAGCTAAAAATCCATCATGCCACCAAATCTAGTAAAATAAAATTCATAACAAAATCCAATATTGTAATTTTTTTAATTAATTGGGTTTCATATATCAATCTGATTTGATCACTAATATACGAAGCTGCCGGGTCAAATTTTTGTGTAATAAATATAATTCAAACATGAAAATCTAGTTTAAACATTTTAATAGCCAATTCATCTGTGCACATAAACTTAAGTTTTTGATAGATGTCTAGTTCATACACTTCCCTAACAATCTTGTGATCCAGATCTTCTTAATTGCACACTAAATTTTGAAAAAAAGGTCTAATTTCATATAACAAACTACTTTCGTCAAAATAATAAATAAATAAACAAACAATGATACATACACACTTATCCCACAGGCCACAACCACTGTTATCGTACCTTACACCAAACACAACAAAGATGGAAAGACCAGCATAGACTCAGAGTCGGTTACAAATAAAGTCAAGAATTTTACTTTTTGGGCAAAGATACATATTAATGTCCAAATCTACAGCTGATTCCTTCCCACTTGGCTTGATTCTTGATATCTTTGAGGACCCGGAAACAAATTCTCAACGCACTTGCGGGAGGAAAATAGGCCACCGGCCGACGCCAATGGGGCCGCGGTCGAATTGTATACCGGTCCGTATGGCAAGATTCTGGTTTGGCTTATTTTTCAAACAATAGTTGTTTGCTATATCATGCCTAACATAATCGTCGATGCTTTTCTTTTAATAAATCTTAAATTAAATAATAATACAAGTAAAAAAGTCCGGATTTACCAAAAAAATATATTTGCAAGCTGCAACACCTAGCTTCATGCGAGCTGAGGACTTCGATTCTTGTGGGACCTTGTCTTTATGGGCCGCATTTGGTATCTCTTTGGCTAGAAAGGCTTGTATAGTTCGTGCTTACTCGTATTTCAGAATGGAGTAGTAAAAAGGATGATGTCTTACTTCAAATATAATTTTTATAGAAGAATGTAAATTAATATTACGAGAAATTTTACAATGCTATATAGTATTGGTGCTATAGGTTTTTGCCTTTATGGTACAACTTAAAATTGTACATTTATGTTATGGTACAACTTCAGATTGTACCTATACTTTTTGTACAAATTCTTTTATGGTACAACTTGTACCTTTATGTGATGGTACAACTTCAAGTTGTAAAGTTGTACCATAACATAATGGTACAAATTGTTTTATGGTACAATCTAAACTTATACATTTAATGTTATGGTACAACTTTAAGTTGTACATTAAAGCACCAATACTATATAGCATAGTAGAAGTGCTCTACATTGATTTCGTTTTCAGTATAATAACAATAAATTAATGTTATGCTAATCAAGTAACAAGAGCTATGCGTAGCTCATGATAAATTATTGTATCTCTCATCGTTTGATTGTTAGTTTATACAATAATCCTCCAATATATAATAGTAGACTTTTGTCCGATTTTTTTATTTCAAAATCCCTGTGCTGGGAGCAATTTTCGGTTGCCCATTTTAGTAATTTTCCTGCCTTTCTTCTTCTCCGCACATTATGGTGCCTTTTTATTATTTTATATTTTATCCATCCCCTTTTTTGGTTAGTATTTGCAGCTGTGTATGTTCATATCTTCAAAATATTTTTAAGGAGAAGATAGTGTGCAAAATCCCCTATATGTAAAACCTGGTCATATCGCGATATCGTGATACGATAATACGAAGTATAATTGTGCCATATAATCGTATTACACAAGTCATGATGACAATTGACACGACCGGCATTTTACAGGTTTTGCAGATAAGGTGATTTGTAATGGAACCCAAATGCAAATCATATCTTCAAAATAAGACATTGAAATTGCTTTAGACTTGCATCATGACATGTTATTCTTTTGCAATTGCATTATGCAATTGTATTGATGTAGATTACAATTGCATTTTTGCAAGCTTGCATCTAATGCAATTATGGGTTGTAAGCCACATTATTATTATTATTTAAAAAAAATTAATTGTAATTGCAAATGAATTGCATTGATACAAGTATAATGAAATCAATGAGTTAAATTGCTTGATTCCGAAAATTATCTTATCTCTTCATCAGGATTCAATTTCTTCATTTTCATATTACAAGACTTTAGTTAAACAAAGTCATCTGTATCTAGAGTTTGAGATTTGCACCTCGTGTTAATTTTAACGAGATTATGTAAGCAATCCCAGTTGAGCTTTGAGCTAATTGAAGGAAGTGAGAAAGAGAGAGACAAGGGCGGTAACGAGGAGGTAGCAATGGACTGACGGAATTCAAATCTCAACTCCTAGATAGAGTATGAAATCTTTAAATGTGATGTAAACTCGGCCGTATTAAGAGATTGAGACTAGATTGGAAGAGATAGATTCAATGAGATCATTGAGGTCGCCATTGAATTCGAGATTGTTTGGATTGCTACAATAATTTTTTGTATTAGAATATTGGAACTTTTAGACGTTATGCTAAGAGAACAATGAATTGACGGTCAATCGCTAGAAAAAAATGGTAAGATGATGAGAAACAGTAAGACTGTTTTGTGGAGTAATAGGATGCCATTTAGGAATAACTTAGAGAATGGGACAGAGAATGAGGAGGAAGGAAATACATGTACTTTTATTTTTTTATTTTATAAATAAAAATTAAAATACAAAGTGAGTAAGATAATTTTATGTACAAAATTGGTAAAACATAAGCGGTGTTGTAGTATTTAATTGGTATAATATATTTGATAAATTTTTAATACCATAATTATTAATGATTTGTTAACATTTTGAATACACAATTCTTTGAAAATAGAAGCTTTCATGATCTAACTCTCTCTCCGGTTCCATGAGTTAGTAATTTAAAGTAATTCGGCCGGGTAAAAACTAGTAATAATAAGAGATTGAAAAGTGGTAGGATGATACTCTATCAGGCCTCAAATTAACTTTGTTAAAAACCAGTGCAACTTATAAGTTTCCCATTTAACTTTGTTCCAGAGTGGTGCCCAAATTTGTATATATTGCAAAATTATTGGTGGATCATGCGAGATGTTTAGTTAAGTGATATGATTCTCGCTTTGTGTAAGAAAGATCTTGAATTCGATTCTCGTAACACCCCAATTCAAGTTTTTCAATTTATATGTCAAGTCAATTTATATATCAAGTCATAACAAAAATTAATAAACAACTATTATTAGAGAAATAAAATATGCTGAGATACGCTCTGTCCTCTCTCATCGAGCTCTCTCTTTGGATCGGCGACGACCTCGTTTAGGGACTCTTTTGTCTGTTCGTGGCCAGTGCGAAGAACCAACAATCAGCCTGGTATAGATCCTCTTCTCCTCTTGGGGATGATGAGGACATACCCGTTATCGTTCGGCCTCCGAGTACGCCCTCGGGCAGAAAGTCGGAGTGCAACTTGAAACCCGAAGAATGGAAGAGCAGCCCTGACTGCCTCTCCCGTAAACGAAAAAGAAGCCTTGTTTGGAGGGCTGATGAAACCCTGAAGGGGCCTCTTCCCAAAAAAGGCAGAGTCTAGCCATTGAAGGGATGGCGGTTCTGGCTCCCACCTGGACTTGATCTGGGGGAGGATGAATCGCCGTTGTCCTAGCCTGAGACAATTGATACCAGATTGCTTCCCACGGGTCTCGCCACTGATTTTCAAAGTAAGAGAACTGGTTGGTCTTGCTTCGTGTGGGGGGCAACCCAGCAAAAACCGGCAATAAAATGGCCGGTGAGCACTACGTCCCATCCCCTAAATTGTTTCCCCGCCAGTGGATTGTGGCGGTCACCGCCGACAAAAGGGACAACTCCAGTCCGTGGGATTCGGAAAAATCGTACCGAACTGGATGTTAAAAGATTATATCCTGGTTTATCGTGGATTTTTGGGAGGGATTTTCGTGATCCTATCTCCCTTAGTAAGCGAAATGGGTTGAGCTGTATTGGGTCTCCCAATCCTGCTCGAACTCAAATTCCCAACAGTGGGCCTAGACTCATGGCATATTCCAGAGAAGCAGCTACTGCTGTGTTTCTCATTATATATACCTCCATGCTACGGCTGCTGTATCACCAACTTCGGAAAAGTAAGTGTCTGTGTGACACCAGCAACGTAGCTCCCTCCTCATTTCCTGTGGCGGCCGAGTTAAACTCAGGTATGGCAAATCGTAACCAGATGTCCATCCCTTCTCCTTTATCTTTGGTGGCCCCTTATCAAGAGCGGATAACTATTCCTGCTTATAAATTCCATGCGAGCATTTCCCCACCTGATGGACATGGCTCCTGATGTTATTAAAAACACTCCCTGCTTGTCTTCTGCCTCTTTGTGTCAGGAACAAGCTATGGTTCATGTATCGGAGGATCAAGTGATCCAATTTTCCATTGATGAGGTGCAATCCATGAAATTCCGTGCTGCACGCACGCTGTTGGGGAGACTGCTCACTACTATCGACCTTGGAGTTGCGAGATGCACTAGTCGTTGCTTGGCAAATCAAAGGGCGGGTAAAAGTCTCGAAGGCCAAACATGATTTGTTCGAAATTATGTTACCGAACGAAGAAGCGAAGAACTGGGCCTTAAAGGCACTCCATGGGTCATCAAAGACAAGCTTCTCAGCCTTCGACCGTGGGCGCCCTCGATTTCTCGCCAAATGTTTGAGGAACTATCTGCATTGCCTTTTCGCATCCAACTATGGGGTGTAAAGGAGGACTGTTGCACCAAGCTCTTTGAGCGCAAAATAGTAGCCTCTGCAGTTGGTCAGGTATTAGAATCAGAGGTTTTCGCCTGCAAAGAAACAGGGGAGCGCTTTATTAAAGTGCGTACTATCGTTGATTTTGCTAAACCTCTTCGATCCCAACTTATGGCTGCTAGTGATGACACTGGATGCTTCTGGGTTAACTTGAGATATGAACTCCGCCCGAGATTTGCTATCATTGTGGACGAGTAGGCCATTCGCGACGGGATTGTACTTTTGATCCGCCTATGTCCATGACCGAGATGAGAAATGGCAAGAACCTAAGGTGAAGATGGAAGGGGTCCAGCAGCTCACCAAAGGAAAGTCGGCTCTTCCGAGTCAGACGAACCAGGCCCAGCCTTTTGCGAAAATCACCAGTAGAAAGGCTAGTCCTCGGGGATTCTCCATCAACAAACCTCCTAAAATCCAGATTGGGGGCGATCTCCCCAAACAGTATGGCCTGTGTAAAACGGAGAAAAATCGCAAGGCAGAGGGACTGGAGATGAGGTCTGATCGTGAATGTGAAAACGGTCCTGATGATACCTCAAACTCTCGAGAAATGGAAACACAAACTGCTGCTATTTTTGCACATACTCGGCGCCGTCGTCTCATCTCGGAGATAGACCCCGATGATGATGCTCTGGACCTTGACCTACCGCCCGTCACCGTCGCTCCTGGAAAGGCTTTGAAGGGCTCCGATCAAGTAGGTGGCGACAATGATGATGTCGCGTATAAGGTCAATATCTTCGAGGTGTCTGACCGGGGCACTTTCCTTGACCTGGGGCAAGTTCCCAAATTGGGTAAAGGACCCTCTGGCCCAGTTGTGAAGGCGGCCCACAAGGCTACAAAAGGCAGGCTGCGCAAGGCTAGGCTGCCGATGGATGATTCTCCTTCACCTGCTCGCGGCCCAGAATGGGCGGAAGACCTGGTGCGGGTTGGTGACATCAATGGGCCGGCCCATTGTTCTGTCCCCATGAAAGAAACCGTGCAAGCCCTTGTCTCGGCTAAATCAGAGTTGGAGGAAGAAGAGCAATGTTTTGAAATTAAAAGGAGACCGCCTCCCTCTTTGCCTAAAGGAAAAAATGTGGCTAGAAATCGGGGGCGTTTGAGCCAAGTTGTCGCGGCATTTGAGGCTGGGCTGTCCATTTCTCATTCGGCACCTCCCCCACAGGAGCAGGAGAAGGAATGTGCTCAAGGACGGATGAGCCAGGAGAAGCTCCAGGTGGTTAATCCGCAGCTGGACGAGTATGGATCGAACTTACTGAACCCAAATATTGGGACACGTAAGCGTCAATTGGAGGCAGTGGAAGGAGATGTGGAAAGCGTTCCTACGCCAAAAAAACAGTTCGTGGAAATGGCTTTAGGTGGAGGAAGCCAGCCATAAATGGCCCCAAGAGGATCAATGAGGCTTCTTGCCGGGAACGTGAGAGGAATTGGGCCATCGCTCACTTTCCAAACTGCTGTAGGTCTTGTTTATTCCAATAAACCGGATCTCGCGTTTTTCTCGGAGACGCAATCGAGCCGGCGTGTAGTGTCCCGTCGTATACGGGGTTTAGGTTTTGCTATTTCGCATTGTTTTTTTTTTGTAGATGCAGTCGATGCATCAGGAGGTTTAGTAGTGGCCTGGTCCCCTGGAGTGGACATTTCGGTGTTGTTCCATTCCAGTTTCTTTATTTGTGCGCAAGTTAATGAAGAAAGATTTTCTTATGGGGTGTGCTTTGTTTATATTAGCTGTAACATTGCTGTTCGAGATAGTCAACTGGCTCATCTTCATGAAGTTTGTGCGAATATCAATCTCCCTTATGTGATCATAGGGGATTTCAATACTACTCTCCACGAGGGTGAGAAAGATGGGGGAAGGGCGTGGAATGCTGCTCAGGCTTTTAGCCTCCGGGAGTTGGTTCATGATCTAGGTCTCCATGATCCGGGCTTCTAAGGGGATCAATTCACATGGACAAATAAGCGTATGGGCTCAGCATGCATTCGTGAACGTCTGGATAGGGTGCTTTGTTCCCAGTCCTGGATTGATACTTATCCAGAGACTCTGGTGAAACATTTTACGGATTAGGGGTCAGATCATCGTGCCCTTCTCCTTTCGGATAAACCTTATGCTCGGCATAGCCGACCTCTGTTCTGATTTGATGCCCGCTGGGCGGACAATCCAGAAGTTAAAGCCATGGTTCACTATGTTTGGCGGGAAGAGATCCAGGGTACCCCTATGGTTCGTCTTTGGGAGTGCCTCAAGAAACTTTGACATCTGTTGTATGATTGGAGCAGGGCAGACACTACTAATTCTCTGTGCAATATTAGGACCCTCTAGGCGGAGATTGATCGCATTGAATCGATCCATCCAATTGACTGGGAGGTGATTAGACCCTTGGAATTGGAGCTGTCGCGCTAATGGGAAGCAGAAGAGATATATTGGCAGCAAAAATCCAGGGTTCGCTGGCTAAAAAAAGGAGACCAAAATTCATCTTATTTCCATACTGTCACGCGTACCCATTGGAAATGAAATTTTGTCTCGGGTTTGCGAAATGATGAGGGTGAGTGGGTCACGGAGGAGAGTGGCAAGGCTTCTATTGCTACGGACTTCTACCAGACACTATTCACCTCGAAAACCCAGATTCCTAATATGGCGGAGAGGGTCGCTAATCTCCCCATTGTCCGTAGTGTTACTCCGCAGATGAATGCGCAACTGACGGCTGAGGTGTTGCCCATAGAGGTCTGGAGAACAGTGTTCCATGGGTTCTAAGCAGGTTACGGGGTCTGATGGCTTCACCGTGAAGTTCTTTAAAGCCTACTGGGATATAGTGGGCGCTTCGGTGACTGAGGCGGTATATTCTTTCTTGGAACAAGTCGGATGTTGGGAAGCTTTAATCATACCTGGCTCACGTTGATACCGAAGGTGGATTCTGTGGAAACAGTCCGACAGTTGCGCCCCATCAGTTTATGCCAGTTTTGTTTACAAAGTGATAACTAAAATCATGGCTGAGCGACTTGCGGGTCTGCTCCCCCAGGTCATTTATGAGGGTCAGAATGCGTTTATAAGGGACCGGCAAATTATTGAGAACATCCTGCTCGGACACGAGTTAATGCATTACCTGAAAATAAAAAAAAACAGGGGAAGAAGGGGTACATGGCTCTAAAGGTTGACATGGAAAAGGCCTATGATAGAGTTGAATGGCCCTTCCTTCTCGCGGTTTTGGATAAAATGGGTTTTAACTCGGTCTGGCAGGGATGGATACATGAATGTCTCCGGTCCTCATCTTTCTCTGTCCTAATGAATGGTTCTCCCTCGGGATATTTCTCCCCCTCCAGGGGTCTCCGACAAGGGGACCCGCTATCACCTCTTTTATTTGTGCTTTGCAAGGAGGGGTTTGCAGCTCTTTTCCGGAAAGCGATCTCGGAAAAGAAATTGGAGGGGGTTAAAGTGGCTCCTCGTGCCCCAAGAATCTCTCATTTGTTCTTTGCTGATGACTCGTATTTATTTGTGAGAGGTTTTCTTCTGGAGTGCAAGAATTTAATTGTCGTGCTGAATGAGTATGAGGAGCTGAGTGGCCAACGGGTTAGCCTGGAGAAATATGCGGTGTGTTTTAGCAAAAATATTGCAGTGCCGGATTAGGAGTTCTTGGCCGCAATCCTCGGGGTTGGTGCAGTGGGAGTTCATGATAAATATCTGGGGCTGCCCACGCTGGTTGCTAGATCCTAAATGGCTACATTCATATATTTGGAGGAGAAGCTCCTAGAGAGACTTCAGGGATGGAAGCGACGGACACTATCTTGGGCAGCTAAGGAAACTTTGATAAAATCCATAGCTTTGGCCCTACCCCTACATGTCATCCCTTGCTTCCGGCTCCCTCTGTCCTTGTGTCGTCTTTTGGATAGACATGTGGCCCGTTTCTGGTGGGGTGCTGAAGAAGGGCATCCCAAGACTAGATGGGTGTCCTGGCGTAATATGTGTAGGAGTAAGCACGAAGGGGGGATGGGATTCCGCCAGTTTGAACATTTTAACCTGGCTCTCCTAGCAAAGATTGGTTGGCGGATTCTCAATGAGCCCCAATCCCTCCTTGCACAGGTCTATAAAGGGAAGTACTTCCCGCGAGGGTTGTTCCTAAGTGCGCAGGCTAGATCTCGCCCCTCATGGGGGTGGCAGAGCATCCTCTATGGAAGACGGTTATTGGAGAAGGGTTTACGGTGGTTGATTGGCAATGGCCAGTCGGCTTCTCTACTCGACTCTAACTGGATTCCGGGAGCCCAGCTCGACCCACCATGTTATAATCCTTTGATCTTACCGGACGGGGGTGATCCCTTGGTGGCGGAGGTTATTCGTCAAGGGGAAGGGAGGTGGGCGGAAGACAGGCTTAGTCATTGGTTCGATTCGCCTACCTGCAAAGCCATTATGACTATTCCCCTTCCGCGGTAGTGTGTGGCTGATAAACTTATCTGGCATAATACGGGAGATGGGGTTTTCTCCGTGAAGTCGGCTTACAATTTGGCTGTTGACTTGGATAGGAGGAGGGGTGGTTGGCGGTCCTTGGTTAGCTTGATGGATAAGCCTAGTTGGATCAAAGTGCGGGAAGCTAAGGTTCCTCCGAGCCGAAGGTTTTTATCTGGCTAATACTTAACCGAGCTCTACCAACTACGGAGGCACTTATTGAGAAGAAGGTTCATGTGCTTCTCCGGTGTCCAGTGTGCTGGGATAGCCCGGAGACGATGGAACTTCTGTTCCTTTATTGTCCGGTTGCTCGGGCCCTCTAGGACTACTCTGGGCTGGAATACTTGGGGGAGGGTTTGCCTCGTCATACATTCCCTCTTTTTCTCAAACGACTGCTGGCTTTGATCCATCAACCTCCTTTGTTTATGGCTGTGGTTGCCATCCTTTGGCGAATTTGGCGGTCTCGGAATTGGGTTGTCTTTGAAGGCAAACAGTTTGGGATCCCTGCGCTCATGTGTCAATTTCATCAGCAGTATGAGGAATGGGTGGGTTTTCACTCGGACCCGAGTCCTAGGATGCCTAGGGAAGCGACTCCGTCTGCTGCTCAAGTGGGTGATTTGCGGTTGGTTTGCATGTGGGATGGGGCCACAAGGAGTGGGACGCATTCGGCGGGGGTGATGGTCCTTTTTGATCCAGAACGGACACTTCTTATGGAAAGAGGGGTGCAGTTCCCTCAAATGGATGACCCTGCTGTGGTGGAGTTGTTGGTGTTGCGGGAGGCGATTATGTGGTGTTTGGAGTATGGTTTGTCTGGGGTCCGGTTCGAGGGCGATGCGAATGTCATTATTGACAAAATTAATCAAGGGGATACTTGAGATAGCCGGTTGGGTGCTGTGCTGGAAGAGACAGTTCATTATTTTCGTATCCATCCTGGGTTTAGTGTGCGATTGATAGGTCGGGGGAACAATAGGGTAGCTCATTCGGTAGCTAGGAAAGCCCTCTCTTTGTATCCGACTATGAGTGTCATCTTTGATTTTCGGGCCTGGCTTATTTCCAGGATGTAACTATCTATTTCTTTTGGATTAATATAAGATATCTTTTGACAAAAAAAAAAACATAACAAAAATTAATAATACAACACTGTTGAAATGTTTTTATTTTTGTTATTTTATCTACGATTAGCAAATTGTGTGTTTCACATATCTATTATTCATTTGGACGCATTCTTGGTCTATTTCATATGGGTTAAAGAAGAATTTTATGGGCGCGTTTTGGTTCTATAGTTGTTGATGTGACTTGAATCGGACTATCAGTCGCTACGACTGGTAGTCGGGGGTCTCGCTGTCCGGTCAACGCGTGGTGTCCAGGGGCAACGCCCCCGGCCCGCTGTGTATGGGCTCAATGTTATTTGGGTTCGGGTTCTGGGCTTGGTCTGTAACTGTTTCCTTTGCCAAATTAGATTACGTTTAGACCTACATGGAGAAGTACTATAAATACTTCTCATACTCCTCTGTAATCTGTAATCTCCTCGATATAGTGAAACTGGCTCTCTCTCGCCCATGGACTAGCTAACACACATCGTGTTAGTGAACCACGTAAATCGTGTGTCTGTGTTTTCGATTCTTGCTTTCGTATTCCTGCTTTATCGATTCCGACAATTTCCCGATCCGTAGCAACGCGTTTATAACAAGTGGTATCAGAGCCGTGACTGGAAATCAGGCTAGAGTTTTTGATTAAGAAGAATGACATCGGTGAACATGAAGATCGAAAAGTTCACGAGGAAGAACAGCTTCGCTATATGGCAGATCAAGATGCAGGCTTTATTAAAACAGCAAGGGCTGTGGGGACCGCTATATGGGAAACCGAAGAAGGAAGCGGTCGATGAAGATGAGTGGAATACCTTGGAGGAGAAGGCCCACTCGACCATCATGCTATCGTTGTCTGATGACGTCATCATTGAAGTCGCTGCTGTCAACGCAAATTAGTTTATGTGCTTATTATTAAGATGCTATGAGTTTTCTCTACTTCTGAGTCAACGCAAATTAGTTTATGTGTTAGATATTACATTTTAATTATGAATTACATGTAGTTATCCACTTATCCACAATCTACACACTTACATTTTACATACTATATGTTGTACTTAACATATTTTAGCTATTTTAGAGGGTGCATAAAAAACTTACGATTTTACGCTTTGATTCTACGTTTTACGATTTTACCCATTTTCCGCTTCTTTGGTAGAATCGTGCTTTTAACTGCATTGGCTGCTGAGAAGACTGTCGCGGGCTTGTGGTTGAAACTGGAGAGTCTGTATATGACGAAGTCTCTAACCAACAAGCTGAATCTCAAGCAACGGTTGTTCAGCTTGAGGATGCAAGAAGGTACGCCTTTGAGGGAACATCTCGAATAACTTAACTCTATTTTCCTGGATCTGCGTAATATAGATGTTCAAGTTGATGACGAGGATGCTGCCCTAATCCTGCTGGTTTCTTTGCCGAGTTCATATGAGAATTTCGTTGATTCTTTTATTGCCGGTAAAGAAAGCGTGTCGTTGGAGGATGTCAGGTCCTCTTCATACGAGAGAGATCAGACATAAGGCGTTAGGATCTGGTACAGGTGGTGAGGCATCAGGTTTGGCTGATACAGGTGGAAAGGGAAAGAAGAAATCTGGTAAAGGGAATTCAAACAAGAATTCCAAGGCAACCAGTCCAGAGCTAGGTGATGCTTGTCACAAATGTAAGGAAGTGGGGCATTGGAAGTACAACTGTCCCATGAGAAGAGGGCAACAGAAGAAACAAGATTCAGTTGTCGTGGCAGAAGTAGACAACAGTTCTGAAGACGATCTCGCCTTGGCTGTAGATGAGAAGACACATCGTGGGGATGTGTGGTTTCTGGATACTGTAGCCTCATACCATATGTCTCTGAACAGGGATTGCTTCACAACCTACGAGAAGATAGATGGTGGTAACGTGGTCATGGCAAATGGAGCTGGCTGCAAGGTTGTTGGAATCGGGTCCATAAAGGTTCGGGCACATGATGGTTCATTCTGTACCGTAAATGATGTCAGGCATGTTCCACGAATGACAAAGAACCTGATCTCCTTGAGTTTACTCGACAACAAGGGTTTCAGTTTCAAAGGAAAAGGTGGAGTTGTGTATTTCTGCAAAGGTTCAAGAAAGGTGCTGAAGGGCGTAAAGCGTGGGACCTTGTATGCATTACAAGGGTCTGTATTGTCTGGTTCTGTTGCAGTTACATCGTCTCAGGTTCATCAGGAAGATATGACCACTCTCTGGCACATGAGACTGGGGCATATGAGTGAACGGGGAATGCAAGTTCTATCGAAGAGGGATCTTCTTTGCGGGCAAGGTGTAGAATTTGGAATTCTGTGAGCATTGTGTGTTTGGGAAGCAACATTGCAGCAAGTTTCCCAAGAAGAGTATCCGCAGGACGAATGGGATACTGGATTACCTCCACTCTGACTGTTGGGGTCCTTCACGAGTTGAATCCATAATCCATTGGAGGTAGCATGTATTTTCTGTCTATAATTGATGATTATTCGAGATTTACTTGGATTTTCACGATGAAGCAGAAAAGTGAGGCTTTCACGAAGTTCAAGCAGTGGAAGACATTGGTGAAGAATCAGAATGGGAAGAAGATCAAGAAGTTGAGAACGAACAATGGTCTGGAGTTCTGTAATTCCGAGTTCAACGAATTCTTCAAGGATGAAGGGATTCCCCATCATCGGACCGTGAGAGATACACCCCAGCAGAATGGCGTTGCAGAAAGGATGAACCATACATGGTTGGAGAGAGCACGGTGCATGCTCTCTAATGGTGGACTAGAAAGAAGATTCTGGGCAGAAGCAGTGAACATGGCGTGCTTCCTGATCAACCGTGGACCTCACACAGGTATCGAGTTTAAGACTCCTTATGAGGTGCGGTATGGTAAACCTGCTGATTACTCTTCACTTAAAGTTTTTGTGTGTCCTGTTTATTATCATGTGGATGAGGGTAAACTGAACCCAAGGGCAAAGAAGGGTGTATTTGGGGGTTACTGAGGTGGAGTTAAGGGATTTCGAGTATGGTCACCTTCTGAGCATCGAGTTATACTCAGTAGAAATGTGATATTTGATGAAAAGTCTATGTTTAACCCCATGTTGAAGGTTACTATTGTTGAAGGTAGTAGGAATGTTGATAAGCAGGTGGAGCTGCAAACTCTCAATGAGAGTGAGTTTGAGCACCAAGGTGGAGATGATCAACATGAGCATGTTTCTACAGAGCCAGAAACTTCACAGTCCAGTGCAAGAGCTCAACAGTCTATAGCTTCCGGTGGACTGAAGAGAGCGATTGTAGGAGTACCTCTAGAGAGGTATGGTTTCGAGGACATGGTGGCGTATTCATTTCAGGTTGCTGAAGAAGTGAATGCAGGTGAGCCACAGTCCTATAAAGAAGACATTTTGGGTGGCGAAGCTGATCAGTGGCTTGCCGCAATGGGAGATGAGATGGAATCCCATGACTTGAATCAGACTTGGGAGCTAGTCAAACGACCACAGGGAAGGAAGATTGTTACAAACAAGTGGATCAACAAGAAGAAGGAAAGAATCAATTCTAAAGAGGGCATGAAATTTAAAGCTCGGGTGGTTGCACGAGACTTCTCGCAGAGGGAAGGAGTTGACTATAATGAGATTTTCTCAACAGTGGTCAGACATACTTCGATCAGAGTGCTACTAGCAATAGTGGCACATTATGACTTTGAGCTCGAGAAGCTAGACGTGAAGACAACTTTCCTACATGGAGAGTTGGAGGAAGAAATTTACATGAATCAGCTAGAAGGATTCCAGGTTCAGGGAAAAGAAGATTATGTTTGTAAGCCGAAGAAGTCCTTGTATGGACTTAAGCAGTCTCCGAGGCAGTGGTACAAGAGATTTGACAGTTACATGATTGAGCTGGGCTACAGTAGAAGTCCATATGATTGTTGTGTGTATC